ATAAAAATAAATATAAAAACATTAACAACAACAATATGTCTGTTAACAAAAATAATAAACGCAGCTGTCGAACATTTATTACATAAATATATATTTAAAACCAAATGATGCAGAAAAAATAAAAATTATTGTATTTTAAATGAATACAATTAAATCACATTAATTAAATAAAACCTATCTATTATTAATAATCTCTCTCTTTAAATTAAGATGTTCACAAATAGATATTGTCGTTGGAAATCAAAAGGATTGTAAAGTACGAAAAGCAGAAATGAAAGCTATTTGAGGACCAAGGAACTTCTGTACAATATTTATGTCAATTGTCGCTATTTGTTGTAAAACCCTTTCTCAGGTTTACTGCCAAAATTGTTTTCAATTTGAGCCACAAATATGTATTCAACCTCAGCAGCAGCTCCCCTCCTCCATTTTACCAACGCAACTAATGGAGTTTAAGGAACCTTTTGATAGAGTGACAATAGGCCGGAAAATACGCAACGGAAATGCGAGAGGAAAGCATATTAAATAACAAGAGCTTAATGAAGCATGAGCAGCACATTGACAGCAACACGGCAGGGCCACTGTAAACAGTTTGGCAGGCAAAAGGAAACCAGAATAAAGTAACGCAAAACCAAATAAACAGAGAAAAAAAAACAAAACAAAAACAACAACAAGCAACAAACAACAAACAACATTCAAGAAGCGGCAAAGTTATTTATTGCTCATATTCGCGCCTAAACTTTGAGATCCTTTCGTCTCTTATTTTTTATATACCCTGCGCCTATGACACTGAATTAGACGAGGTATTATCAAGTTTGTGCTTTGCAGATATATATTTACAAATTAAAGTAAGTCTGAAATTTGTTACGTAGACTAATCAATTTAACTGGATTTTTTTGTTGTTCATTCCTAACAATTATCGTCCGTTTTTTCACATAATACAGCAAGTATTAATGGAAATGTGAAGAGCTCTTAAGGTTTTTTGTAGACGTTAGCAAAATTGACATTGTTGCAGGATATAATAAAGTCCATTACTCTCACTTAGTATATACGCTTCCTTCTATTGTTACATTTTATAGAATGAAATGCGCAGCTGTTGATTTTAAATTGTGCCCCTTGTTGCCTGCGGTTTTGTTAGCCCGTTGCGAATGTTCCTGTTAGCCACAGATCCTGTACCTTGCTCCACTCCTTGGGAAAGTCAGGCGCGGTCGTTTTGTAGCTGCTTTCGGGCATTGTCTCTGTTGAGTCTGAATTGTGCCATTGTTTCTGACACTTGGCTCTAAGCGGCTGCTTCAACGCTTAAAATGCCACAAATTTCGCGTGGCTTCTTCTTCTTTTTCTACTTCTTCTTCTTATACTCATTTTCTTTTTCTGTTGCGGCAACGTTTTTGTTCAACGGAAAATTTATAGTGTCGTAATGTTTGGTTGGAAATGTAAACAGTTGGTTCCCATTAAGAATTAGGTAATAAGGGAAAATACAAATTGAAATTGATTTAAATAACGATCTGTTTTCGTTGTGGACAACAACAATAAAACTAATTTAGACATAGATTAATTTTTTTATTTGTGGTATAATAGATTATCTATTTTATAATCATTTCTAACAACAATTTGAAATTGAAAATAATATTCATTAGTGTTCAGGAAATTAATTTAAAATTAAAAACGATTTTTGTTCACTTGCAAATAAGTTCCAATTAAACTAAAATCAAACCAACAATTATCATATTAATTAATTTATTTAAATGTGAAATGCAATTATATTTCAATATATACTCATAAATAAATTTGAATTTTTAATTGTAATAAACTAGAATTTAACTCCAAGTTGATAGAAAATTGAATTTAAACAGTGGCAGAGTCAACAGTTTAGGACTGTGTTCAACAACTATGCATCGAGCTGCGAGCAAAACGCTATCCGGAACCCACTTTGTGCTTTCCGTGGGGCTCCCTCTTTTATTTATTGACTGTTAAACTTTTCATTAGCCATTTCGTTTAATTCGCACACAATATCAAAGATTCAAAGGCAGGCAAGCCAAGGCAAGGCAGACCAGAGCACAGAAAAGTGATGCTTCAACAGCAGAGGCCAGCACCAAAAAAAAAAAAAAAAGGAATAGGAATAGCAATGGTGACAACGAATGGAACAACACAAACAACAACAACAACAACCAACGGCACTAAGTATAATGTATATGTGTTGAAAGCAACCACAGCAGAAACTTTATTGCCTCAGTGTGTGTGTGTGCCTGTGTGTGTGTGTGTCTCTGTGTGTGTGTGCGTGTGCTACACCACAGATACAATCAGAGCGCAATTGTCTGCGTTGATGAGCGAAGCAATGGAGCGCCCATCATATATTCCATTTTCCCTCGCCCTGTCTCTGCCTCAGACCTACCCCCAACCCCCTCAACCCCCCCAACCCCACCCCAAACATACAATATAACCATTCAGTGTGCTTTTTCATGACAAAGAGAGCACCACGTAATCATAATGATAAGAATCACGCATCCAGACACAGACTTACTGACAGCTACATTTCGAATGACAGAAAGAAAAAAAAAAACGAAAACTGTTTTCGTATGACAAAAATGTGCAATTTCTTTCGTATGATGATGAAAATTTGCCAGAATATGAGAATAAAAATAACCTTGATTCTCTCCTGTAAACAATATGATAGCAGTGTTTAATCTTCAGGTGAGCGAGCTATCATATTTATTTTTATTTATTAGGTTTTGAATATATTTATTCCCCTTTCTTAAAGCAAAGCCAAAGTGCAAATAAACTCGAAATAGAGCTTATTGTTGAAAATATGTAAAAGATCAATACAACATTCCGATTACTAATGTTAATAACAGAACATATCGATACTGCGCTCGATACCTTAATTTAAGATTACATTGAATAAATTCTTCTTAGTCTAACCGCCAAACCTAGTGCATCACTTTTTGCCGCTTGAAAAACCCAACACTTATAATTAATTATTTACCACAACAATTAAATTGTGTTTATTATTTTTAATTTATTTAATGCTCAGTATACTTGTTTAAGTAAAAGTAAAGTGCGTAAGCAATTATTTTTCAAGACAATAATTATATTGTACTAATTTTTTACTATAAAGTGCTTTACAATATTTTGCCCATCAATTAGTCAACTAATTAAAAGACAAATCCTTGGATTTTTTACATGCCTAACTAAAACAGCTGTCATTTTTCAAGGGACCGAAGAAGACAACTTTTTAACTCTACTAAATAGCCACATCTACACAGATTTCGTGATAAGCATATAATACCCTTATTTTAGAGCAAAAATACCAACATGCCTCTGCTTCAGCTTAAATCGAAAACTTTTATTCAATGTGAAACTTTAACAAATAGCAAACAACTTGTAGCGAGAAATACACACAAAAGAACTAGATGTGCCATGTTACTGTGATGCTTTACAAACTATGTATATATATATATATGAAAAGGTATTTATATATATTTATATATATACAGATATATGTATGAGCGTGTGTAGTATTTGTGCTAAAAACATCTGGGATGTGACAGCATGATGCCATGCAGCAGGGCAGAGAGTCGAGCCGCTTTGACCCGTATAAGTATGCTACAAAAGTATGTGGCTCAACTTCTAACCCCACCTCCAACTTGTCACACTCCGCCCTTGCAAAACTATTCCATGATGTTGCGTAGTAGCCAAAGTCCCAGACACGTAGTCATTCCGTTTACTTTGGCCACATTATGCAGCCGTAGAGTTGAGAGTGCACATTGCATAAGAAAACATTCGAGTGGTGTGACACATACATATTGCAGCACTTAGCCCCACCACACGATGCCACCCGGAACCACGACGAAAACTCACATAATACTTAGTCGCTCCACTTAAGCCGAGTCGAACGCAACGTGACGCGATTTTTATATGAAAGTCAATATCTTCAAATATGCGAGATGAATTGAGGCATCCACGGCAAAAGCGAAAGCAATTTATTGAAGCATAGTCAAAGCATGCTCTTCTTGGTGTATTCAAATACTCTTTTCAATAATCAGAAGGGAGTATGTCCGATCATAATAGGCCAATCAAAAATAAGGAATGGGTTATTTAAATATATATAAATATATGTATATTCGCCAAGTTGAAAATAAATGGAATCAATAAATTTGTTTGCCACTAGAAGTCGCCAGATTTATTCAGCAACGCTCTTGTCTATTTTTTCATTTCGAAATCTATCTATTTTGTGTCCAACAGGAAAATTTATTACTGCATTTGCATTCCCATTTGTATTTTATATATTTTTATATTTGTGGTTAGTTGCGCGGGTTGCATCGATATTAAATGTCCCTTCAGCTAGACAAAAAAAAATATATAAATAAAAAGCACAAAACATGTAAATCAATGGACGCAGTTAATTTTCCAGTGCGGTTGGCCAAATGATGTAGCAAGCCATGTTCCAGCTTTTATTTACTTCATATGAATTAAACTGATTAAAACTAGTTAAATAGTAAATTGTAACAACTTTACTGTAACATAACTGAATGTGACAGGATATCAGCTTTAGCTTGTTCGATATTTCATTTTTTATTTTGTGTTTCGGTTTTTAGTTAATGTTTTGTCTCGTTAAATTCATTATTTTTACATCATTAATTGACTGATAAAAGGGCGAATGCTTTTTATATGCTTCTATTTCTCTTATTCAAAATGAAAAGTACTCTCAAAAGTAAAAATGAATCTATTTTTTAAAAATTACTTTTTATAATGTAGAAAGCAGAAATATAATTTGCTATCTCGACTAATATGTTGGAATTGTGTGTGACTATATAAAAAGTATGATTGAAATTAAATACATATAATTTTTAAGTTCCTGAAAAATCGACGCTCTCTTTTTTTTTGAGTGTAGAAGGATTAGATTCATGTTTTTTGCATAAATGAAATACATACTTATAGTAAATACTGTCATAAATAAGATATAGCATAGGGAAATATGTGGTAAAATTAGTTATTGCACTAACCTGATGCCGCCCACATTTAATATAATCCGATTTTCGCCATCCATGTTGCATGCAACAGTTGTGGTAACAGCAGCCGCATGCCCAAATTGATTTCAGTTAGCCAGTCAATATTTTAAGCCAATCCACAAATCGATTTCAATATACAAACATACTATCCTTATTCATCGAATCGAAAGAATAATGTTTATTTAATATTATTTTTTTATAAAAGCTTTATCTATTTTATGCACTTATTTAAACACTTGCACAAAACACAAGCAAGCCGCGAAATGCTTTTCAATTAATGCTGAGTCCACAAAATGGTTGCAGCAATTCCTGCTCCGGTTTTGGTTTGCTTTGCATATCCATTTGGGCTTCCAACTGTAAAGGGAATGAAATAGTTAGTTGTGGTTTCTGTAATGCGCGCAGCGAAATTGTGCTATAATCCCGAGTAATGTGAGTGCTGCAAATTTAGTGCATTTTATTACATTTGCCAGCCGAAACGAATCGTTTTTATATTCGAGGGTTGGCTGAAAAGTTATTGGCGAAACTTTATGGCGGGTTCGTAAAAATGACAAGATGCAAATAAATCAAACATAAATCGAGCCATGAAATCTAAATTGAATTGAGCTAATCAAAACTCTTGGATCGATTCGAAGTCGAAAAGAAAGAGACTTCAGTCAAATGCAAATGTTCATTTGTGAATCGAATATCTATTTTAATTTTAATTATTAGTATACATCTATTAAGAAGTTTGAAAAAGTAAATAGATTTTTGATTTTTAAGTTTGACAGAAAGCTTAAATAGTGTTTAGAATAGTTTTTCGCTCATTTCAAATTCAAATCTGAAGCTGAATTCAAATGAAAATTTAACTTTGACTTATACAATTATTAATTATCAAAATAAACAATATATAATTAATATAAATGGTCTTATTTAACTTTTTTCAAATTTTCTAAACTTAATTTTTAAATATTATCCTTTTAATCTGTGATTTTTTATTTTATTGTTTTTTCAAATCCTAATCATTCGAATTAATTAGATTGGTTGAGGTCCGATTCACAAATATTCTGTAAATTTGACAGAAACTATTTATGCCATATGGGACTGTATAGAGGGTATACCATAGTCGGGCACATTCGTATTTGTTTATGTATGTACTTTATGTAAATAAATATTTTTGAAATTTTGGTTTTTTGTTTCAAGGTGAATAATTATTTGTGGTTGACTTCAAAATTTCGTTCATAACCAGGATGGTAGAGCTTCCAAAATATCAAATTCTTAGTCGCTATATGAAAATTAATGGGATTATATTTTCAAATAAAATTCATTTGCATTTATAATTTCAATTTAAAAATATCAAATTAATAATCAAATATGTTCAAAGTGACACAAAATGGGGCGAGGACTCAATATGTTGGAGTTTTGTCTATCTGTGGTTTGTGGCTTTTTTCGCTTATTTCATTTATGTAAGTTGCCATTGTCGATTCGAACGACAAGAGTCGAGAAAAGCTGAGGATGTCGACAATTCAATAAGCCCGAGAGTGGAGAAAGTAATGTCACGTGAATTTGACTTTGGCATTCCAATAATTTAATATATACAATAGCATATTGTCAGAATCAAATACATGATAACTTGGAAGACATCGCAAATATGTAAATATGACAGCTGCTGGGACAATCCAATGCTGTTTAAGGCAAATTTAAAGGAAATTCTTGAGTCCCCTATTTATTTCACATACGCCAAAGTTTGTGGTGGTAGTTGGGAGATTGGCAAAACTTTTGCTGGCCAAGATTGTGCTGATTGATAGTCACACAAGTGAGGAAAAGTTGTGGTAAAAATAAATATCTCGCGCCCTTAGATGCGAAACTGACAAATGACCCTTTGAAAGACAAAGAGAAAGTTGTTTTCACTCTGTATATGAAGTAATAAATAGTTGTTTAACAGATTATTTATGTACACTATGTGAGAGACTGTCAGTTTTAGCTTTCAAGCATAAATTAAAATCAAACTGCGAACTTGATGAGTTTGTTTGTTTTTTTTTTCTTTTTTTTTTGTCCATTTAAAAGCAAAATAAAACTGGTTATTATAAATCATCGGTTGCGAAACAAATTGTATATGCATGCCATTAATTTTTGATTACTTTTCTCAAATTATGTTAAAAACAAATCGAGAAAATACATTAATTATAACATTTAAATATAATGATTCATTCATCTAGGTTGAAATCTTAAAAGGGCAGGAGAATTTCAGAATACAGCAAGTAGAAGGAAAAGTAAAAGTATTGAGGGCAAAAGTTTACAACGCACTCACAAATATAATCAGCTCGGAATATATCACGTCGTTACGACATTTTTATGGCCAACAGTTGAATGGGTGTTGCTGCCACTTGCAGCGCATTAAACGATGATATTTTTTATTCCGACCACTTTGCATGGTATGCAAATTTTGTACTTGGCCGCACTTGTGCACAGTCTGGTAATAAAATGTAAGCCCAGTTAGGCAAACGCCATATGCTCGCTGTCAAAATAACAAAATGCCGGCTAAGGGCGGCGAGCTGGCGACAAAGTCTGCAAAAGGACCACTCAGCTAACGGTTAATCAACTGGCTACGCCGACGACAGACCCACTCACTCAGCCATACTAACTGACTAGACCATGTGAAGATATATATATATATAGATATATACCGGAATACGAGTATTCAACTCTAACATGCAATTGTGAGAACATGCAACTGGAACTGGCAGCGCTTCAAGTGCGTCATCAATCTCTGCTGTGTGGGGAATTTCCATTCATTGGCTGTGGCAATAAAGAAAGTCTGAGTGGGAGTGGGAGGGGGAGAGGCGAAATGGCAAAGTGGCAGGAGAGAGATACTCGAATCCTGAGTGCTTTCAGTTCGCGCTTTGTCTTAGTCTCATTGAGGCACCGCCTGCTGTTGGCACTTTCGGGCCCAACATTCAGTCAGTCAATCAACAGCTCATTGATGCTTTCGTGAATTGCCACTTTAAGAACTGACGGACTTTGATTTCAGCAGATTTCCATTTACGATTCGTATTATCACATGTAAATATTAAGCTTAAATCAATATCGGATTGAGGGAAACTATAAATGGCATTTTCAAAAATCTTTCTAAATTTGTTTGAAATCTTTACATTCTTAAACATGTTTTTACTAATCTCTAATCATATATATTTTTTGTTTTGCTTGGTCTTTTTTGGATTTCACCAACTCTTATATTAATAACTGAACCATTTTGCATTTTAATAGCCTCAATATATAATATTCGAGATTTAATTTTATTTGTTGCATCAATAATATCTTTTTTTAAAATTATTTGTAATTTATTTAATCTTACTTTACTTTGAATTTTGTAATTCTCTGCTTAGAATTGAATCCTCTAAAGAGTAGGATACATTTAAGAAATAAATTTTAAAAAATGTGAGTTTCAAATCCTTTTTTTATGAATGACATCAATTTACACAAAACAAGAGCAATATAAATTTAGATAGTCCAACTAGAACTTGAGTTAGATCCTAGCTGCTGGCAGTCGTAGCTAAGTAACTGATATGTATATATTATTTGGCAACAAATAATGTAAAACAGCTGGCAAAACAATGGAACTTGCCAGATGCCTGCCCGAAAAGTTTGGCGTTACGCAAAGTTAAGAAAAAACTGGGCGAACAACAAACGAAACAATGTTATGTGAAAAATGGAAAGTTGAGAGTGGAAAGTTGAAATTGCACTGCCAACTGATCAGACAAACCATAAATAAATATATAAGTTTGTCTCTCGCATTGTTTGGCTACCAAATAACAGCCAAAATCAATGGATGCGAGAACGACAAAAAGGATGACTGCAAGCAACACGGAACAAGGTCAAATCCCCATTGTCCAACAACAGAAGCTTTCCCACCAACAAAGCGAATCCGACTATTAGTCGATACTGAAGTAGAGCTAAAAATGAAATGATTATGCATCCGTTTGTAAATGAAGCAGACAACTGCAACTAGTCGATTTGCTGCAAGGCAAGGCTAAAACCAACTGCTGAAAAGCTGTTGAATTGATTTTGATTTTAATAAGCCACGTACTGCTTTGACTTATTTGAATATTAATGAGACTGAAAATGGAATCGATTTATGTCTGACATAACTTGTCGAGTCTTTGCTTGGCATACTTATTGGAGTTAGTATAAAGATAAAAAGAAAATTAAATACTTTGGGTGTAGAGAGTAAAACATTTCACGAATAACAACAAATCCATAATTCATTTCTGAATTTTATCCAACATAATCGCATTGATATTGGAGCAGCAATGCCAGCTAAGAATGCATAAGAAACCAAGAAAGAGAATAAAAATCGAATAATGATTACAGAAAACAGAAGATGGCGCATTAGAAATCATTGGATGTTGCCAAATGCTATTATGCTAATATATTTAAGTACATATGGCAAAATGCCTTCTTTAGATGGTTGCTTGGCAGATGTTGGAGCTTCATTGTGGTTGTCTTGTGAATTTTTGATTGTATTTATTTATGATTTATTATGTAATTATTCTAGAGTTAGGCACTCAGCGCCCATCTATAGACAATAACTTACCTATGCATACAAATATTAATTGATTTTTTGAATAAGTCAAAAATAATTTGCTCAGAAGCATTCAAAGTTAAACCATATTCAAATAATTTAGGGCTGCAAATGGAATGCAAACGTTTCGAACACAAAATGCACATGAAATTCATGCAAACAAATTTCAACAAAAAAAAAAAAAAAAAATGAATATTTCAAACAGGTAAATATTTGGAGCTACACCCAAAACTAAACAAACATTTTGCGGCTGGAGGCTGGAGGGTTTTGGGCTGATATCATAAAACCTTTGCCTTATGGCCATGAAATGTTTATGTGGTTTTACTAACTTAAATGTAAACATATTTGCTTTTAATTAAAACCACGATGCCAGCTGACTAAATGACTGTGCCGATTTTGAACGTGGCATCAAACTGCAAACAGACACTTCGATTGAAGTTTGTGTTAAACTAGATTCAACTAAATATTTTCCAATTTGCACAGCAAACCTGTCGAAACGGCAACAGTATTTGTGATCAACAAATATTGAGCAAACTTTCAAGGATAAATAGGAAAGATAAAATAGTTTTATGCTAGTGCTCTAAGCTAAAGAAGAAATATTAAAATATATACACATATATTTATATATCACTAAGAAAGTTGTTTATTTAAGCAAGTCAACTACAATTTCCATAAATAAGCCTTTGGGAAATATATTTAAGATCCAGCCTTAGAGTTAGTGCTGCCAAGTTTATTTGTCTTAAATAAAGTATAAGCATACATTTGAGTCTTTTACTACTTTATGCAATAGGTGCTT